CAGCCCCTTCCCTGCACCCATCTGCACAGCAAAATGGTTTCTGAAACATATCGCAAAAAGAAGCTTTTGGTATGCCAGGAAGGTCAGCCATCGGAAAAAACCTCAAGCATGAGATCTATAGGAAGCAAGCTCAGCCTTATCTCTATGGATGTTATGCAGTGGGGTGTTTATGCATGGCCCCAAAGGAGGACCCTGATCTGCATCACATTTGCATGTGCTAATTGATTTGCATAGATGCAAGTTGGAAAATAGCTATTGCGGAAATAAAATATAGCTCGCCAAGGTGCACAGGAACATAGGAAGCTGCCATGTTTGCAAACCATTTTTGAGATTCATTTGAATGAAAAGCAGCATAGAAAGGCATTCAATCAATCCAGCAATCCCGAGTCAGACCATTGGTCCATCTCGTTCAGTACTGTACACTGACGGGCAGAGGCTCTCCATGGTTTCAGGAAGGGGTCCGTCTCAGCTCTGTCTGCAGAAGCAAGTTCCTTTCTGTTGGTCTGCCACTGCCACGAAGCCAAATGATAGTGACTTATCTCACAGGGTTGTTGTAACAATAATAATAATTTTTTATTTATATCCCACCCTCCCTAGCCAAAGTCGGGCTCAGAGCGGCTAACAACAGTAAAAATAACACAGTTTACATAAAATCACAATCAATTAATTGAAATACATTCTAAAATCAATTCATTCTAAAATCAATTCAGAGTCAAATTAATGACAGCCATTGGGCTACAGTTCTATGAGGATTACAGAAGGAGGGGGTCAGACTGTGCCTTGGCCAAAGGCCTAGTGGAACAGCTCTGTCTTGCAGGCCCTGCAGGACTTGACATCTTTCCGCAGGGCCTAGTCTCTTGTGACAGAGTGTTCCACCAGATTGGGGCCACGGCTGAAAAAGCCCTGGCTCTGTAAGTATTACAGCTAGATCATGCTCATAAACCGCTCTGAACACTTGAAATTGCCATAGGCTACTGCCCATTATTTTGTTTTTGTTTTGTTTTGTTAGAAAAGAAAGGTAGGATGTAAATATAACTACTAACTAAAATAAAGTGGGTTTTTTTCCCACCATTTATATCTGAATGCATGCAAAAGCAACCTCTACCCCAACACAGCCCAGCCCCAAATAATTTGCCTTCCCTGCTGACATATGAAAGGAGACAGTTGGCAGCCTGATGGAACAATCGGCACTTGCTTTTTTAAGCCTTAGGAACCTCTGAGAAGCCAGCTACTCAAAATCTGGAGAGACACAAAGCTCACTCCCTGCTAGATGACTCTGTGCTGCTGCTCATTGAACAGACAAAGCAAGCCTGTTTGTAAAGGTGACCAGCAAAAGGCCCCATTCTTTAATCCCAAAGAGCCATCTAGTGGCAGAATTTAAAATTATGTGCCTTGCTTGTCCTGAAGAGCTGCCCAGTTTTCAGAACAATAGGCTATATTAAACATTCAGCTTCTGCTGCAAATGGAAACCATCCACTTAAACCCCACTCACAATGTTTAAGGTCCATGATACTCGGGACTAAGAGGAGTTGTAGACAAAACACCTGCAGGGCATCAGGTGGACAAAGCTTGGTGTAGGAACTGGGATTGCAGGAGGTCCCCAGGAGGAGAGCCAGTGTGGTGTAGTGGTTAAGAGCGGTAGTCTCGTAATCTGGGGAACCGGGTTCGTGTCCCCGCTCCTCCACATGCAGCTGCTGGGTGACCTTGGGCTAGTCACACATGTCTGAAGTCTCTCAGCCCCACTCACCTCACAGAGAGTTTGTTGTGGGGGAGGAAGGGAAAGGAGAATGTTAGCCGCTTTGAGACTCCTTAAAGGGAGTGAGAGGCGGGATATCAAATCCAAACTCCTCCTCCTCCTCCTCTTCTTCTTCTTCTTCTTCTTCTTCTTCTTCTTCTTGTTCCCTGTGTAACCATTATCTGGCAACATGCTCGCAGCAACTGTGGGGGCAGGATCAGAGCTAAATTTTCATTAGTTGGGAGTTTCTCACTCTGGGGTGACTTATGGTGCCTTTCTGTTCTTTTATTAAAGTACTGTATACAGGCTGGTTTTTCCTTAAAATCCCAGCTGTATGCACACTCCCAACCCAAAACTTACCTACCCAGTGGAGTTATTGACAAATGGGAACTCCTGTTACTGCCTGGACCAATAAAAGTGACTTCAAACCCTCCAAGTGTCCCTGATTTAGAGAAGCCGTCCCAGGTTCTGATTTGATCCCAGAATGTCCTGCTTTTCCATAAAGGTAAAGGTACCCCTGACCGTTAAGTCCAGCCGCGGACGACTCTGGGGTTGCGGTGCTCATCTTGCTTTATTGGCTGAGGGAGCCGGCGTACAGCTTCCGGGTCATGTGGCCAGCATGACTGAGCCGCTTCTGGCGAACCAGAGCAGCACACGGAAATGCCGTTTACCTTCCCGCCAAAGCGGTACCTATTTATCTACTTGCACTTTGACATGCTTTCGAACTGCTAGGTTTGCAGGAGCAGGGACCAAACAACAGGAGCTCACCCTGTCGTGGGGATTCGAATCGCCGACCTTCTGATTGGCAAGCCCTAGGCTTTGTGGTTTAACCCACAGCGCCACCCGCATCCTTAGGACGTCCCTAATTTCATTGGAGAAGTGTTGGAGGGTATGGAGTTATCCGACCCCCGAGCAGTCTGAAGGCAATCCTATATACGGAAGGGTTTTTTTAAAAAATGTTTAATGTTTTATTATGTATTTACATATGTTGGAAGCTGCCCAAAGTGATGGGGTAACCCAATAAGATGTGTGGGGTATAAATAGTAAATTTATCATTATGGAATGGGATGTCCCTATTTTCATTGGAGAAATGTTGGAGGGTATGTGACTTTGAACCACACAAAGATCAAAAGCACAGATTTTGAGACATCCCTGTAAAAAGTAATTAATTTGCAGTGGTGAACTATGGCCCCTTTGTCAGTATTGCCTCAATTGCACCTTCAGTATGGTAAATTCTATCTTGTTAAATTAAAAATCCATTATGAAATCTATTATAAGACAGTCTGTGGATCACCCTTTAAAAAACACATTTACCTGTACATGGAAGCAACCCTGGTCAGATTCAGGTAGCACAAAGCCGTCTCTGTCTGAATGCTCTTGCAAATCAGCCATAGATTTCACTATCAGGTGCTCTTTGCAGATTGCTTGTTATTAACTCAAAACCAAAATGGAGACAAATCACACTTTGAGTTAAGCACTCAAATAATCAGCTGATAGAAGACCAAATGTATGAATGAACCAGCCCTTGGCTTCTTCCTTTCTTTAAGGAAATCCATATCCAGTTAGGCTGCTGAGCGCCAAGATACTGAGATGGTAGAGCAAGAAGCAAGTCAGGGCCAAAGACAAAATCGTGACATATTATAGGTGATCTTCTTTGATGGTCTACTCAGCGGTATGCTGTAAGATTTACACAGAGACCTGCATAAATCAGTTTGTGTCACAAGGTGAACAAGGGCCAGAGCTCCATGTTTGCCTCTCTTATTACGCCATTCCACCCTGGAAGCAGGGGGTAGGGAACCTTTGGCCCAGTGGCACAAATTCAGGCATCTCCATTTGGCCCTCAGGACCCTCTCCAGGACACAAAAAGTTACATAGGTCACACCTCCCATGAGTGATTATGCCCGGATGGAACTAGAATGCATCTTTCTTGCCTGGAAGGACAGATAGAGAGATGTGGTGTGTTTGAAACTTGATTTTTTTTTTTGCATGACTGGTATGTAACCTACTGTACAAGGGTTACAAACAGGGCTTTTTTTAAAAAAAGAAAGAAAGCTGGAACTCACTTCCAGCACCTCTTAGGTGGGTACCATTGCCATTATAAGAGAACAAGGGAGGGGTTTGTGGTGAGTTCTGGCACCTCTTTTTCTAGAAGCCACGTCCACTTTTGCGTCTGGCCCCACCAAACACTTGCAGGCAGCCTCCCGAGAGTTGCCTCCAAAGGAATGTGGAATGTGCTTATTCAGGTTGAACATTTTTCCTTGTCCCTGCCTTAAAGAACCAGGCCTCTTTCTCAGACTTGGTTGGGTGAGCAGCTATCAATCACCTGCAATTCAATGTGGTCTCAGTCAAAGGGCACTCTCTTCTGACCCTATTCAAGTGTTCAGTTCCTGCAGTACTGTACCCATGAAGGGTTTCAGAGAACACACCTGGCTATATTTATTCATTTACTTTATTAATTGCTTCAGGATGTTTCGTGGGAAACAATTAGCTGGGGGGGGGAGAGGGAATCAACACAACACAGAAACACGCTTTCTAGTCCAATGCAGAAAAAGACTGAGATAATAAAAAAAAATCCACTTGAAAGGCTCTGCAAAGATGATAAAGACTGCACTTGTTTCATAAGTGATGAGAGGAAGCTCCACAAAGAAGGTGCACCACCGTGATAAACGTTTGGTTCCTACGTACTCTGGAATGAAATGGTGTTTGTAGGAAGCCCTTGCCCACAGAGCACACGTGTGTGTGTGTGTGTGTGTGTGTGTACACATGGCCAGTATGCACAGCACCAACAACCCCCCATGGCCAACTGAGTATGTATGTATGAAGGACTCCCTCCACAAAGTCACAAACCCTGACTGACACCTGGACCTGCTTAATGGTCCTTTAGACTGATGCCAATCACACGTTTTGCAAGGAGGTGTTCCTGGAACACCTGCTGAATCAAGAAGGGAGGTTTCAGTGGGCATGTTCTTGGGTACAGAGTGCCTGACTAGGGCTTTGCTAGTGAGGCTGAGTAGACATAAGCATGCTTCAACATCACTAACCTTACAAGGTCTTTGCAACAGCTCCCATCCAAATCATAATTGTAAAGGCTGGAGAAAAATTGAAATTCTTCTTTCTTCCTTTCTTTTTTACAAAGGCACTAGAAGTCAAATTGGTGTTAATTTCTATCAAGGCTAAATACAGACCCATATATTTCAGTATAAATGGGTGGTGCATCAAGCTGTAAGGTATTCAGTCATTCCACAGTGAGACACAGCAAGAGTCCTGTTATCCCAATTTATGCTTTATTTATCAGTGTTTTTAAAAAAGTCTTTTCAAACTGCTGGGGGAACATCAGCTACGGTTCCTCCAAGATACCAAGGGGTGAACATTTCTAGGTTCTATGCACAACAAAACACCTAAAACAGCAACCCTGTGCTGTCACCCAAATGAATCGCAGAACTTTCAAGGAATGATCCAGGACCCTTGGCTTCGGGCAAGTCCTCATAACACTTCCAACAGTGTAGAAAGTTGCACAAGTGGCAACATGCCTGGCTTATCTCTCAAGAGGCACTAGGATGGTCCACTCTTTGGTAATGAGCACGCATTCGGATTTCTCCTCTGTTCCACAATTTTTGCCCAAATGTGCCCCTTTGCAGGAACCTGCAAAACAACGAGAGAGAGATCAGTGTGGATGGCTCATGTGCGTATCCCCCAAATGTTCCCAGCAACATGATTTCAAAGAGTCTTGCAATGACTGTAAGAGCATAAGAGCCCAATGGCACATTTAGTTCAGCACTTGGTTTTCAAAATGCTCAACCAGATGCCCACAAAGAGGACCTCACTGCAACAGGATTCTTCCCACGCATGGTGCCCAGCAAATGGTACCCAAACAGCCTCCATCAATGGAGGTAGAACACAGCCACCATGACTAGAAGCCACAACCACTGATAGCCTAGTCCTGTGTACATATGTCTAAACCAGTGTTGGCACTGACTGCTATTGTGGACCAAGCTGTGCAACAAGCAAACATCATCATCATTATTTTTAATTTGTATACCGTCTTTCTATCTTACAATGCTCAAGGCGGTTTACAAGCTGAAGAAACAAAAATGTACATCTTATAACAATCTAATGCAATACAAAAATGTGATAATAAAACATAACTTTAAAATAGGCAACCTACATCAAAAAAGTAACATTCAACCATCATTAGAATAGTATTTAATAATAATGATAACTTATAAAAGTTAAACAGAAATCCACTCAACAGTTACAATAAATAATTTCTAAACTATAACCAATAAAACAATGGCAAGCCACAGTACATAAAATAATACAATACAAACTGAGAAGCAGAGACTAGAGGGTGGGGCAAGGCAGGTGGAAAGAGGCCTTGCCTGATGGAGTCTCTCCCCTCACAGTTCTTTCTCCAGGACCAGCTTCCTTACGAGGAGTCCCAGGGCCAGGGGGTGGGGCAAGGCAGGTGGAAGGGGCCTCTTCAGGACTTACCGTTTCTTTGAGAACTGCTGGTCTATCTCTTCTAGAGTCTGTCCTTTGGTTTCGGGCACAAAAAGGTAAACAAACAGAACAGCCACTGCTCCCACCAGTCCATAGAGAAGGAACATCCATGATAAGCCTATGGCATCTGCAAGCAGTAGTAAAACACGATTAACATGTGGCAAGACAGAACTTTTGCTTGGACATAATGAAGGGTGGTATATTCTAAGAACAGTGGTGTGCATTACCTTATTAATATGCAGTTGGGCCAAGAAAAAGCACAGTGACATAGGCAGGAATTTGGTCCAGTAGGTAAATAATGTTCATCTTTCACAGCATTCAACGGGGATTGCCAGTGCAGTGCCTGTGGGCACAATGGTGTTCCCACGGTGCCCATGAAATCTTTGAGCCCTCTTCCCATTCACTGCCCCCTTGGCTGTGAGGCGAAATGGAGGCTAGTTAATTTTAATCTTCCTTGAAAAGTACTTAAGAGTTGAAGCAGGAAGTTCGAAGACTGAAACTCTTTCCCGCTTCCTCTTTCAGCTCTAAGTGCTTCTCAATGCTCAGATTAAGTCCACCAGATCCAACTTTTACCTACATATCTTGGAAAAGGGAACTGTATGTGTATGCTGTGCATTTTCTCTCTTACTGTCTCTTTGTGCAGGGAGCAATGGGGGAGACAAGTGACCTGGAGGGGTAGTGCCCACAGCATTTGCTCATAAATCCCATGGGCCTACAAAGTTTGTCAACTCTTGGCATAGATGTTTTGGTCATTCAGAATTGCAAGCTGCCTGTAAAGTTAGACTGTCCCTGTCAGATAGGGGTGCTGCTGGGCCACTCCCTGCCACTAAGGCCACTTAGGCCTCAAGCAACAATACTGGATCCAAAAGTTCCCTCAAGCTATGTACCCGCTCCTTCAGGGGGAGTGTAGATGTTAGAATTCCTGCTCCATGACTGCAGTCATGGGATTGTTGTCTTTCACATGACGGTATATGTTTTGACTCCACAGAGTGGGAAGTGACGGAGACAGGATGTTTGTGTTACTGTGTTCCATGAAGTGGGACTATTGTCCTTTGTTTTTTCTCTGATGCTAGAGAGAGAGAGGGAGCCATGTTGCAGTGCTCTGTGTGTGTTTATATGTAAATAAAGTAGATTAGCCAAAATGCTGAGTTGATGAGGTCTGTTACGCATGATGCGCAAACTCTGCAGATCCCTAAGTGTGCCGGTGTCGGTTGGCATCGGTTGCTGTGATGTTCGGGCTGAAGAAAGCTTTTGAAGCTCCCGAATGATTGACCAGGAGGGAGAGAACATGCCAGTCGGGCATGTGTCTCTGCCAGGGTCCTACTCGAGTGTAGGCTGAACTCCTGACAATAACATCATCCAGAGCAGGCGGCATCCCATCCACCTGGTTCAAAATTCAAGATGGGTTCTCTCCCTTCACAGCAGTTCAGCAGACAGACATTTGCCGTTGTTACAGTGGAACCTTGGAACTCGAACATAATCCGTTCTGGAAGACCATTCAACTTCCGATACGTTCAAATTCCGAGGCACAGCTTCCAATTAGCCAACAGCTAGGTTTTTGTCCGAGGAACGTTCAAAAACCGGAGCACTTACTTGCAGGTTTTGGGCATTCGGGAGCCGAAACGTTTTAGAACGGAGTCATTCTAGTTCAGAGGTTCCACTGTATTATTATAGTTTCTTTTATATTTGAACCTGGGTCACCCACTATGGTCTAACATTCTAACCTGTCTAGTAATGTATTCTGGAGAAACTGAGGATGGACCACATACCTACAATCAGCCCTGCTCTGAAGCAAATTGCTGTGGAGAATATCAAACACAAGCAATGGCCATACATACCAATGAGGTCAAGGAATGTGAGACTGATCAGCAGATTGGCAGCCCAGTTGAAGCTGTTGCAGAAGGCAAAGGCTCTGCCTCGTATGTTGCAAGGGTAGATCTCACTGAGAACAAGCCACGTCACTGTGGCAGGAGAAAGCAAAGCAGAGGAACAGGGTGAGGATGGAGGGAAACCAAAGAGAAAACGCCAAGCCATGGTTTTGTACAAATGTAGCAGAGAACCAACTTGGGAAAAGCGTTGGATGCAGATGGAAAGTTAGGATTTGCTGGGCTGGGCGACAAAGACACACAGAAGATTCAAACTAACCAGAATGAAGACAATGACTATGTTTAAATGTCACAAGAAACTGTGGTTAAAATTAATTTTGGTCTGAGTTTGGCTTGTTTCATATAAACCAGTTAACATTAACCATGGTTTGTCAGGTTCAGATGATACACTAAACTTGGCTAAGTGAAATCTTAAGTGAAAGCTTCTGAAATCTTCCTCACAGCTGTGCCTAAGGAGAGGGGACACCACATAAGGCCAAAGCTCACTGTGGTTCATTCTCAACATACTAAGCATTAACAAGAGACATGGTAGTTCCACACAGTTTGAAAGAGGGATTCTTGCTTTTGGGACATACAGACAGTGCTTTTTTTCAAGGGGTACTCAAGGTTACGCAGTACTGGCACCTCTTTTTTGTTGTTGTTAAAAAGTGTGGCACTTCCCGTAACAACTTCATGGTGAGTACTGGCACCAATTTTTCTAGGGGAAAAAGCACTGAGAAATCCATTTTTTAACGAGACAAAGAAAAGTATGTATGTACACCATACAAAGGAAGTCATAATTCTTCCAAACCACTTTCTGACCTTACTAGGTTTCCTGAAGTTTCATATGTCTAAATCAGATTGGTCCACTATTAGGCAAGTTTGTGATCAGTGGGGAAAATAAACAAATAAGTCAGTTAAACAAATGCGGAATTGGAGGACAAAGACGAATTCCAATCCAGTCTCTGGGTTGTATCTAGTTTTGCCCCTCATGTCTTATATTGGGGCAGGCTACGAAAAAGCATATGGATTGCATAAGCCACATGTAGTAGTAGTAGTAGTAATTCCATTATTTGTTCCCTGCCCATCTGACTGGGTTGCCCCAATGTAGTATTTCTAGATCCAAATAATGAAACACAGCCAATCTCAACTTCCACCTTTCTTAAAATAACTCTTTTATAAACAGTGATAAATGAAGACCATGTCCATTTAGACCCACCTTTTCTAGGGCTGCTGAATGACCAACATGGGTACCAGTTTGTTGAGGTTGTGGTGAATGTGCTTGGAGCAACCACACAAAATGCATTCAGGTCGCCTTGCGAGTTACAGCAGCCTACCACCACTGAAAACTGCCTAAAGCTTTACATGTGAACAGGCCTGCCAAACTCTTGTATATGTATTTGGAAGGATTTTCAGGTGTTTGCCTAACCAGGTATGTAAATAAGATTCTGCCGGAACTGCTACTTCCTGGAACGTCGTAGGTGGAAGGAAATATTTCAGAAACAAGTGGGAGAAGCCCTAGGTACCACAACCATTGTAGGAAACAAATGGCCCCATATAGCAAATGTAGAGCATGTACTCTGGATGCAGAAGATTCAGAGTTCAATCCCCAGCTGCTCCAGTTTGCCCAAGATCTTGTCTACTCCAAGTAAAGCAGGGAATGGCATCTGCCCAAGATCTTGGAGTAGAAAATGCAGGCTAAATGGAACAATGGTCCAAGGGAGCATCACATGTTCAAAAGGAGCAATGGACATATCCAATGACCACCCATAGAGAGGGCTGGATGTAAGTTCTACTATTCTCCCTGAGCCACTCCTAGTATTTCTCCCTCAAGACTGCAGCAAGCTGCCAGGGGTGACATTTTTGTTTAAACTCCCTCTTCCCTCTTCCTTGACTGCCCTTCATCCTGGGAATGAGAATGGGAGGACACCACTAAAATTACACACATTTGATTACATTAGTTTCCACCTACAACAGTCTTGTCTTTAATCATTTGCCTGGTTGCCACTGGTAGCCAGAGATTTCACACAGGTGAGTGCAGCATGGAATTCCCTCTAAGGGAGCTACTGGGATCAATGAAACAGGGACTGAGCACTCTGCTTTGCCAGCCCAATCAACTTCTATACTAGCCAGAGAAGAACTTAAGCCACTTACTCCACAGCTGACTGAGCTGGCAAAGGAGAGACAAAGCTCTCCACTTCGCCAGCCCAACAGCCAATCAGATTGCAGAGTGCTCTATACCTGCTTCACCTGATCAGCTTCCATGAAGTGCCTCATGAACCAGCTCTAGCCATGTTTGGCAACTTTCAGCTTCACCTATGCGAGTAAATGAAGATGAGGAGCAATGGTTAGAGTCAGCTTAGGTCAGGCTTCCTCAACCTCAGCCCTCCAGATGTTTTGAGACTACAGTTCCCATCATCCCTGACCACTGGTCCTGCTAGCTAGGGATCATGGGAGTTGTAGGCCAAAAACATCTGGAGGGCCAAGGTTGAGGAAGCCTGGCTTAGGTGTTCATTCCCAGCCAAACATTCCCAGCTGGCGAATGTTTTAAAAAGCAGTGGAGGAACAAGTCCTAGTAAGATTACGGGAAATGGGCAATGGAGTGACCAGGGTAGCAGGGGAGAAGAAAGGAGAAGGAAGGAGGAAATGCTTCTAGCTTGCAATTTTTCTTTTACTAGTTTGCTGTTAACTCATAGGAGTGACCCCTCTTATGAGCAAATATCAGGAGGCAAGTAAAAGGCTCAGGGGGTGCTTAGTAACAAGACACTTTTATGGGATCCTTATATTTTATTTTTACCGTACTCATTCAATTTTGGTGCCCACAGCTGCTTGGTCAAGGCAGAAACACATTCACACACAGTCAGGTCCATGCAGACGGGTGGGCTGAATTAGGTAGGAATGTGAAAGAAGAGGAAATTCACTTACTTGGTCCAAATCCAATTGAGAATGCACTCACAAAAGCCATCAAACTTAGCAGTGTGATCCAGTTTAGAAGCAGGTGTTCCTTTGAAGGAGCATCACCCAAAGATGAGCTGGTATCTTGTCGCTTTCCTTTATCGGACTGATTGAGAAAATGGGTCTGCCCGGTGTGTGGAGTGTTTGTCATCCTATCTCCTTTTCTGTCGGTGGCAAGAGTCCTGGTCAAGCCTACAGGCCTCGTGATGGCTGAAGTCGATTCCATTTGTATTTCACTGCCACCTGATGCCAGGAGGGAGTAAGACACAGCTGGATGGGAGGACACTGACTTTCCAGGGAGATGAGCCGAGCTGAATGAAGTGGCATTGGAACCTGGGAGCGTTTCACAGTCTTTGGCCATCTCTAATGAAACAGAGCAGCTGGTCAGGCCGATAGCAGTCACCGAAAAGGCCATCACTATGCAGCCAGCCATCAGCAGCACTCTTCTGCCAGCCTTATCTGCAAAAGCCATTGCAACAACAGTCGCAATGACCTTCATCACCCCCAGGCCGACGGAAGCCAGGACAGCAGAGGAATCACTCTGAAAGCCAACTGAGCGGAAGATGGTGGAAGCATAGCCAAGGATGTTGGGCTGCCCTGTGAACTGCTGAAAGAGCACCAATCCTAGGCCAACCAGAGTTCGGCTTCTCATGTTATCCTTGGAGCGGAAAAGGTCCACGAAAGAGTAACTCTTCTCCCTAGGGCCTGGTGGCAGCATGACGTCTTCATTCTTTTGCTGCTGAATGAGGCTTTTGCTAGTCTCGCTGTAGCAAACGTTTAACTTCACAGAGTTCTTTGGGAGGAACAGGATGCTGAGGAACTGAACGACTGCCGGGCCAATGGCCAAGCCAAACATGTACCGCCAGCCCTCGGCAGTGTCCGCAAAGATGTAATTCAGCGCATAGGAAAGTAAGATGCCCACGGTGATGCCAGCTTCGTAGAGGGAAACCAGCACCCCTCGTTGATGGGCAGCCACCATTTCTGAGACGTATATGCAGCACGCCATAGAGGACAAAGAGATGGCAAAGCCTACGGTCACGCGTCCGCACACCAGCCAAACAAGCGACCCGGAGAGTGTAAGGACGAGACTGCCGCACAACAGAACGGCATTGCTGACCAATATTGCTTTGCGTCTTCCCTGGTGGTCAATGAAGATCCCACCAACCAGAGAAGCCAAGAGAGCCCCAATGAGCAAGGAACTCACAAGGACTTCCCGTTCAAAACAGCTAAGATGGAGCTCCACTTGTAGCTGCAGCAAGGCCCCTGAGATAATTCCAAGTTCATAACCAAAAATCAGCCCACCAAGGAGTGAGACGGTTGAGGATAACAGGAGAACCAGCAGTGCATGTCCTGTAAAGAAAGAAGAGTACTCATGAGGTGTGAGGGTGTTTCTCATCCACCTTTACAGGAAATGGGAATCTCTCTGTGTGAGCATATAAAACAGAACTTTTAAGATCTGCATGTGCAAACAAATGTGCGGACCTGTTCCTTAAGCAAACAATATACTAAAGCCTAGCAATATATAGCTTTAGTCACTCTCTGCACAAACAAAATTAGTATCTCAAACACTTTATGAGCGTGTGCCACGTTCTTTTAGCAAACAAGATGATATCTTCCTTAATAACTCAACAGAGCGATTGTTTAGTCACAGTTAGTCCATTTGAACTTGTAATCTGTAACTAGTAACGTGCTTTGCTGACCCCAGGAAGGATATTTTTTCTGCTTTTAAAATTAGCACAGCACCAATAAAGCCACCACATCAAAAATGGAATATTGGTTCAATTGTTTTTCACAAAGTAAACATGGGATTCCCAGGCATCAATCCACACCAGTCCCATTGTTTCCAATCAAGTCGTAGTAAACTTTAGCTGGATTGGGACCAGCTAAGAAAATGAAACTGAATATTGAACTTCAACACACAGTAATTGTATTATCAATTTAATGCAAATCTAATTTGGTTAACTAATCCGGACAGAAGCATCCTTGCTAAAGCAGGTGCAAGAGGCAGGAATCTCTTAATAGGGAAAAATTCAGTACACATCAGAGGTAGCATAGGCAGATTTAGCTGTAAATCAGGAAGTCCAGATTCAAATATTTTCTCTGCCACTGATTGGTCTAAGCTGAGCCCCCGCCTTTCAGCCCATATATGAAATATGGACTTCCTTGCAGGATTATTGTAGGAGTTGCAGAGATTAACTTACACAAAGTGCTATGTGAATGCAATGTCATTATCTAAAGCACTACAGAAATGCTAAGCATTAGCATTCCTAAATATTATAAGCACCAACAGGCTTTTAAAATAATGAGACTACAGGTGTCACATATTAGGAACATCTTGCCTGAAAAGCCCCCGCCATACAGTGAACAGCCTTTGCCTCTTTCCTAAAAGCCTGAATTCATAAAATGAGTGACGTGTGGAAGCCACTTTGGGCTTGCTGTCTGTGGATTCTGCCTCCATGTAGCAAACTGTGGGTGTTCAGCATGAACTGGGCGAAAACCCCTAGAACACACAGCGAGACACACAATGGACAGCAGTGGACTCGTAATCTGGTGAACCGGGTTCGATTCCCTGATCCTCCACATGCAGCTGCTGGGTGACCTTGGGCTAGTTACACTTCTTTGAAGTCTCTCAGCCGCACTCACCTCACAGAGTGTTTGTTGTGGGGGAGGAAGGGAAAGGAGAATGTTAGCCACTTTGAGACTCCTTAAAGGGAGTGAAAGGCGGGATATCAAATCCAAACTCTTCTTCTTCTTGAATATTTAACATGTGGAGATGGCTGCCACAGGGAGACATTTTGAAGCCATCTCTGTGTAGCAAATGTTTCTGTCTCACCCAGATGACTCTCCGAGCCATGCAAGTCCCTCTCTTCTTCCCTGCCGCAAACTTGTACTTAAAAAAATGCTGGGAACAGCACAAGACTATTTTTGCAAATGCAAAACCTTCTAGGTGACAGTGATGAAAGCCAGACCAGCCAGTCCTATTCCCCTGTAGGGTGTTTCTGTTATGCTTCCTCACTTTCAGCTGTCAACTGCTTGCCAGCCAGGAGAGTCCTACATATGTCTATGTGGGTATGTGTTACTGTTACAGCTTTCAGTACACAGAACAGCAAACATCTGTGTCACTTCCTCCTACCTGCTAGGAATTCTTTCAGGTAAACAAAATGACTGGTGCTTTGTCTAATATATTCTCCATGAAGCTGGAAACAGACCTCTGGGCACTTTGACATGCTTACCCTCCTCATCATTGCCACGCTTCGTTCCAGCACACGACGTCAATTCTATGATGCCATGTCTAATCCTTCCCAAATGCACAGGAGCCTCATTAATGGCTAGTTTCATCAGGGACATTTCAAACCCTTTTCCATGATGAAAACACAAGAGTCCTGCCTACCACAGGCCTCTGTTTGGGGAAGGGCTGTAGCCAGCAGCATGCAGTGATGTTTTTGTGTTTTTTTTTTGGTATGGGAACAGTCAGGGAGCATTGCTTGCGAGGGCAATGGGGATGGGGGGCTGACATTGCGAGCATGAGCATCGTGCCTCCCTCCCTAAGCTGGGCAAAAGCTTCCTGGTCTTTGGCAAGGAGGTGCCAGGCGTCTGAAATGATAATGGAGCTGAAATATACTCAGAGTCGAGAGTGGATTTCATGCTCTTTATTTAGCTCATAGTGGTGAGGAGGAATGGAAGTTCCCTCAGAATGTCTGCTTTATATACATTATTTACACAAAGGGCCCCATGTGATTGGCTAATTCCGGGATTCACCTGTAGGCCAATCTGGTTGCGGATTCACTTCCACCTGGAGCTGGATTGGGTGGCTCCTGTGGACCAATCAGACTGCTGCATTCTGAATCCTATTGTTCTAGGACCAATCAGACTGCTGCATTCTGAATCCTATTGTTCTAGGACCAATCAGACTGCTGCATTCTGGACCCTATTGTTCTAGGACCAATCAGACTGCTGCATTCTGGACCCTATTGTTCTAGGACCAATCAGACTGCTGTATTCTGAATCCTATTGTTCTAGGACCAATCAGACTGCTGCCTTTTGGATCCTATTCAACTCAGTACATAACAGGAGCCCTCCTGCCTCTTTCCCAAAGCCAGGCAGGCTTGGGGAAGGTGGCAGGAGGGTTCTTGGTTGGAGCATCACACCTCCCTCCCTAAGCCAGGCAGAAGCTTCCCAAGATTTGGAAAGGAGGTACCAGGTCTTATTACTTTAATACTCTTTTTAAAAAGTTTTTATTGAGAATTTCAACATAACAAATTATCAAAACATATCATCTTCTTTTCATTCCCCCCCATTTTCCCCTCCCCCCAAAGGAACCCTCCCCCCCCAGACTTCCCTGTCCCTCTCTCTGATTTTTCAACACATATTATTCTCTGCATATTATCAAATTGTCAAGATCCTTAAATCATCTGTCTATTATGTTAACAATCAATAAATTTCTGTATGTTTATTCAAAACCTTATAACTTTAATACTCTTAATTTATCAGGAACATTTAGGGGACTAGCCTAGTCCCACTAGTCCACTAGCCACACACCACTGGCATGCAGAAGGTCCCAGGTGGAGCTGGCAAAGAAGGTCCCAGGTCTGATTGGCATGCAGAAGGTCCCAGGTGGAGCTGGCAAAGACTCCCAGAGAGCTGCCGGCAGCACGGTCTTATGACAGCATGCAGAATGCACCCATATACCACACTATATATAGCAGCAGCAGCTTATGTCAAGGTGGAGTACACTGCCAACCGTTACCTGCACCATTAAAAGAGATTATTACTGCACCATCACTGATGACACTACAATGGCTGAAGCACTTTTGGCACATTGCTCCAACCAAGTAATTGCCAGTGGTATGTGGACCGCTGTGCACTTTTGAGACAGCAGGTACGCAGTACCTGGTGCCAGCTCTTTTGTTTGTTGAGCTACTACTATTGAGCAGGATCCAACAGTGTCAGTCTGCTGGTGTCCTCTAACCCTCTGGAGCAGATGGGGGCGTTCAGGAGAATGCAGAACGAAGGGTGAATCACCAGATATTGCCTCCCCCTCCTATTCCATGGTAGGATTCCATTCTTCAGCAGATGCACACTATCAGATACCACTCTTTGAAAGAAGCTACAGTGGTGCCTCGCAAGACGAAATTAATTCGTTCCGTGAGTTTTGTCGCCTTGCGATTTTTTTCGTCTTGGAAAGCACGGTGTTGGGAAAGTTTTGGAAAAGCTTCAAAAATCACCAAAGTCTTTAAAAACCTCAAAAAAGGCTACCACACCGCGTTCTATGCGTTGCTCCTCGAAGTCAAGTCGCAACTGTATTAACGGTGTTAAGAAAAAGGAAACAAACTTGCAAGACGTTTCTGTCTTGCGAAGCAAGCCCATAGGGAAAATCGTCTTGCGAAGCAGCTCAAAAAACAAAAACCCCTTTCATCTAGCGAGTTTTTTGTCTTGCGAGGCATTCGTCTTGCGAGGTACCACTGTACAATGTCAGGTAGAATCTGCGAAACAAAGCTTTCCTCTTTTTTTTGCACAACACTTAAAAGTTACATTGTATACCTATTTGCTGATAAGTTTGTCCCACGGAACCCAGAAGGGCTCTGGTACACTAGATTGCAGGCTTACTCTCTGACGGAATGGGTCTGGGTGTTCTGAAGGAACCAGGGGTGCTCCTAGATCAGGGGTCAGCAAACTTTTTCAGCAGGGGGCCAATTCACTGTCCCTCAGACCTTGTGGGGGGCCAGGCTATATTTTGAAGAAAGAAAAAAATGCAACGAATTCCTATGCCCCACTAATAACCCAGAGATGCATTTTAAATAAAAGGACACATTCTACTCATGTAAAAACATGCTGATTCCCAGACCATCCGCAGGCCAGGCTTAGAATGCAATAGGGCTGGATCCGCTCCCTGTGCCTTAGTTTGCTTACCCATGTCCTAGATTCATCTTTGTCACTTGAGACACAGGTAGTCTTAGTGGCTAGGGCTGCCTTTTACCAGTGATGGACTATATGGAACTGGCGGAAATGACTGGGAGAATCCGAGACCAGGGAGAAGAGTCGGTGGAAGAAGATTGGAAAAAGTTTAAAGTCTACTTACAGAAATACTGTAAAATTTATGAATGTTAGAATGATGTTGGATAAGAAGTTAAGTGGTTTTTAGCTATAATGCTATAAGGAATATGAAAAAATGGATTATTAATAGGTAAAGATTTAATGTTACAATATTTTAAGATTAAAGACTAGGATAAACAAAGAGGGAAAGGATTTGCTGAACTAACAAATTGAATTGGAATACAAAAAAGGGAGGTGTGAGGAGGTCCGGGAAACAAGCAAATGAAAGATAAGTAATGGAAAGATGGAATTGTTTT